AAGTTATAGCCAAGACTCTGGGTATGAAGTTATAGCCAAGACTCTGGGTGCGAAGTTATAGCGAACGCCATCATCTCCCAGGAAACTTAAAATTTCGAAGCTCTAGAGTTTTTGCTATTCTGGGAAAGGTTTTACAACAAAGTCATTGGGCGGGAAAATTTTAGCCAGTCAGAACGGCGAATGCTCATTCCTCAACCAATCAAAATTGACGAAAAAGCTCTTCGCATTCTGAAACACAGGTCGGGATACTTCAAGTAAAGAAGATCAAAGGCAAATTGATTTTCTATGCTTCACAGGAGGCGCGTTCCTTAATGCGGGCAAAAGCTCGATGCGGGCATACCGTATTTACTTGATTGAGCGCCGCCCTCGATTGAGCGCCGCCCTCGAATGAGCGCCGAGTACGAATCTCGTACTCGTACCCGTATAGTCGCTGCTAAAGCTCCCGAACGACTATTACACGACAGAAGGCAATATATAGGCTATTATAACTGTGAAAAAGCTATGGCAAACACAACTTGGGTACGAAGTTATAGCCAAGACTCTGGGTATGAAGTTATAGCCAAGACTCTGGGTACGAAGTTATAGCCAAGACTCTGGGTACGAAGTTATAGCCAAGACTCTGGGTATGAAGTTATAGCCAAGACTCTGGGTATGAAGTTATAGCCAAGACTCTGGGTGCGAAGTTATAGCGAACGCCATCATCTCCCAGGAAACTTAAAATTTCGAAGCTCTAGAGTTTTTGCTATTCTGGGAAAGGTTTTACAACAAAGTCATTGGGCGGGAAAATTTTAGCCAGTCAGAACGGCGAATGCTCATTCCTCAACCAATCAAAATTGACGAAAAAGCTCTTCGCATTCTGAAACACAGGTCGGGATACTTCAAGTAAAGAAGATCAAAGGCAAATTGATTTTCTATGCTTCACAGGAGGCGCGTTCCTTAATGCGGGCAAAAGCTCGATGCGGGCATACCGTATTTACTTGATTGAGCGCCGCCCTCGATTGAGCGCCGCCCTCGAATGAGCGCCGAGTACGAATCTCGTACTCGTACCCGTATAGTCGCTGCTAAAGCTCCCGAACGACTATTACACGACAGAAGGCAAACAAAAAATATATTTTCACACTCATATTATTTGCACAAACTAAATAAGAAAATCCTCAGTGATTCCCGTTATTATTAGTTACAATCCTATTCACCTGTTTTCTAATAAAATACATGCAACACACACTCGCCACAATTGGCTGATCTTTTAATCCTTAACCTATAAAACGACAGACGTGTTATATGTCCTGATAAACAATTCGTTTTACGGAACTAGTGTCACAAACATTGATAATTTAAGCTTGGCCAAGTTTAGCATGGGAAAAGACGGTTTTTCAAGGTCTTCAATACCTTTTTTCCTTCTCTGCGCAAAACGTCATTCTTCCAGAAAAAGATCACACAGTTCAATGTGGAATTCGTAGCAGCTATAGTACCACCCCAAAATTCAGACATGCTCGTATTTTCTGACGTCGATTTCTCAGCGAAGTTAAACGCAATGAAGAAGAAAGCAGGAGTATACATCAACATGAGACAGGCAACTGCCAACAAACAGGTATGAATGTTCTTTAAATTAACATGCAAGGTTGATTCCTCGGTTGATGCTGTGTTGTCGCGTCGCATTTTTCTGGAAATCTTAAACAATTTGTAGTTGAGGAAGATAATTGGTGGAAATATAATGGCGAAGAAAATG